GCTATTATTATTATTTATTTATTTTTTAATGTAGGCTTCATAAAATCCTTTTGTCAAGTGTGAGTTTCTTAACTTCTTCATATTAACCTGGTGTCAATTATCTCACACGCTGACAGCAAATTTGTGCCGTTTTTTAACTGCCTATTTTTGGGAAACGATTTAAACTTTTTTTAAAAATCAAAATTGGGTGTCCCGAGCTTGTTTTCGAGATAATCAGCATGTAATAAAAGCCTACGCGCGAGCTTTTGGAGCAAAACTTGCGCCACCGGAAGTGAATAGAAAAAAAAAGATTCAYGAGATAATAGTTATTTGCAAACTATATGATTCCACGAATGAAGGCTAGTCAATCATTCTACAATAATACATAGATATTTTCGACAAAAAGACAGAGAGATACATTGATTTGTCATATTTTGTAGTTGCGGTGCTCTTAAAAAATCTCATAAAGTCGAACAAAAATCCCTACAAAAATCTATTTTTTCATGTGTTAGAAATATAAACTTTTTCTAAAAAGTTGATATAACCTAGATTAGGAGTTTTTCGAATCAGCTATTAAAAAATACAGAGTCCCGTGCAAAATTTGAAGGTTTTGCCCTGTTGAAGCACAAAACGCTTATGCTTCTTCAATAAAATCTTGTTGATTTTTCAGCGGTTTTTGAGCTCGCACACATCGTGGGCTCRAATGGAACGTAAAAAAGTAGGCAGTAACCTTAATGAGAATATCACGAACTTCGGAATTGTACTACCGATGCTCTTCCAGCTGGGCTAGAGGTCAGACTGAGAGCAGGCCGGTTCTATTTCACCCTGGCCTGCTCTTAGTCTGACCTGTAGCTCTACTGTTAGAGCATCGGTAGTCCAATTCCGAAGTTCGTGGGTTCCATTCCCAGCAAGATCGGAAATTAAATTTTCCGAATTCACTTCCAAGGGTCTTTCACCCGGAATAACCTTGTTCCCAAGAACTATAACTTATATATACCTCTATATTTTCATGTATTTACAAACATAATTGTATATCAATGAACTATTAATACAAAATTATCCTCATTCATAACCTAATCTCATACCTTATATAAGTGCTGGTTGACAAAGACACAGACGACGAGTGTGACGAATAACTACTAGTAATGGATGACGAAGATGACGCACTCGAAGAAAAAGTTGTTACTGTCGAGACAGACGACGCACTTGGAGATGTAACAATCGTTGAGGTTGGACTAGACGTCGATGACGACACAGAGCTCGATGGGCTGGTTGTTGGAACGCTTGTAGTCGTTGGCACAGTGCTAGTCGATGGAATTGTTG